GCTCTGGATCACCGGCCGCACAGAAGAGGAGGCGCGGGCCAAGGCTGAGAAGAAGTTCCCGGGCAAGAAGTTCACGCTATCACGGGATGAGGATGTCCTTGACACATGGTTCTCTTCCGGCCTGTGGCCATTCTCCACCCTCGGCTGGCCCAACCAGACTGCCGATCTGGAGAAGCTCTTCCCCACATCTGTTCTCGAGACCGGATGGGACATTCTCTTCTTCTGGGTTGCTAGGATGATCTTCCTCTCCTTGTACCTCACCGGCAAGGTCCCATTCAAGGAGGTCTACTGCCATTCGCTCATTCGTGACTCTGACGGCAGGAAGATGTCCAAGTCGCTGGGTAACGTTGTAGACCCTGTTGACATCATGGATGGTATCACTCTGCAGAAGCTACACGACCAGCTTCGCGCTGGTAACCTTGATCCCAAGGAGTTGACCAAGGCGGAGAAGTACCAGAAGACAGCCTTCCCCCAGGGTATTCCCGAATGTGGTGCTGATGCGTTGCGCATGGCTCTTGTTGGGTACACCACAGGAGGAGGTGACATCTCGTTCGATGTCAACGTAGGTGATCCCTTATCTATTGTTCTCGATGTTGTATACTGACTAGTCATCAGGTCATCCACGGATACCGAAGGTTCTGTAACAAGATCTACCAAGCCACCAAGTACGTCATTGGACGTCTGGGTGACAACTTCACACCACGAGAGAAGGTCACAAAGGGAGGTTCAGAGTCACTACCTGAGCGATACATTCTGCATCAGCTCAACGTCGCTTCCAAGAAGATCAACGACCACTTGGAGGCACGCGAGTTCAGTCTGGCTACCCAGGCTGCGTACAAGTACTTCTACGTCTACCTCTGCGACACCTACATTGAGAACAGCAAGGCCATTTTCGATGAAGGCAGCGAAGAGCAGAAGGAAAGCGCGAAACAGACGCTCTACACCGCCATCGAGGGAGGACTGAACATGATCCACCCCTTCATGCCCTTCCTCACCGAAGAGCTATGGCAGCGTCTCCCCCGCCGCCAAGGCGACTCCACCCCCTCCATCACCATCGCGCCCTTCCCACAATACAAGCCAGAGTTCGAAGACGAGACCGCAAACGCCGAATACGAGCTCCTCGTCGACAGCGCAAAGGGTCTCCGTTCCCTGACCGCCGAATACGCCATCAAGGAAGGCGCATCCACCTACATCAAGTCCCTGGACGACTCTACCCACGCCACCCTCTCAACACCCACCTCCCTCCCCTCCATCCGCTCCCTCGCCGGCAAAACCGTCGCAGACATCAAAATCCTGTCTCCCACCGACTCCATCCCCTCCGGCTGCGCCGTCTACACAATCGGCACTGCCGCGACCGCGTACCTCGACGTCAAGGGCCGCATTGAGCTCGACAAGGAGATTACCAAGGCCCAAGACCGCCTCGTTAAAGCCAACGAGACGATTACGCGCCAGAAGAAGATTATGGATGATGAGTGGGAGCAGAAGGTTAGTGATGCGGTCAAGGAGCAGGAGAAGGAGAAGCTGAGGACTGCGGAGTTGGAGGCGAGGAACTGGGAGGCGAGTATTGAGCAGTTCCAGAAGATGAAGATTGAGTAGATGGTATGTGCGTTTGTTAGAGGAGGATCTCGTGATTTCGATGGAGATGTATTAGCATAGAAACGATCACTACGACGTAAAGTAAAAGTGCCAATGGATGATTGCAGATTCGTGTTTTGAACAAATTGGAATGTTGTACATTGGTTGCACTGTATCTTCGTAGTAGCAGATATCATCTCTCTGTTCTGACTCCTTCGCTTTCCCACGTCATTTTCTCCCATCTTACTGTGGTGCAACCCTACTTCCTATCGTAACACGGACCTCTGAATGAACCCGATAGGTATACACGTGAAGAAACGAACGCCTCAATCCAAACCCATGGCATGTTCCTTCCTTCGTCTCCACCCCAGTTTCCTCTCTCCTCATCTCCCCATCTACGAAACAGCCTTAACCTCCAAAGCGCCATTAGCGCTCTCCTTAACCATCTGCGCATCCCCACCCGCACCCGCACTACTCTCGTTTTTAACCAAAGTGGGCATACTGACGCTCCTACCCTCACCAAGCACCTCCGGCCTCCACCTAGCCAGCAATTTCTGCGCACTAGGTTTCGCCCTTTCATTCTCCGTCCACATCTCGGCCAGGATATCGACGACGATCTTGCGGACTGGAGGACGGAACATGTACAGGTAGTGGAGTGTGTTACACGCCAAGTCGATGCGCTCGGGGTCTTCGGCCATCTTCTTGAGGCGCACGAGGATGCTGTAGTCGATAGCGGGGATCTCGGAGAGGAAGCGGATGATAATTTTGTCGGTGTGTTCGATGTAGGGTAGGATACCGTCGATGAGGCGGAGGGCGCAGCGGTGGTAGTTCCCTGGCGGTTTCGGCGATGTGTGGTGGTTGGACGAACCGTTTGTAGCGGTGTCTTCGGCGGACTCGGCGAGGACCATGTCGTTGTACCATTCTTCGTTGAGCCATGAGATGGCGACGTCGATGCGTGACTTCCAGTTGTACAGTATGTACTGATACAGGCCATCTCTTACCGCATCGCTGATGTGCATATTGCCCTTGGCGTTCTTAACGGCGTATTCATCTTTGATGCCTTCTTCCGGGTCGTCTAGGCCAGCGCTGGCTCGTGTAGCTAGCCGAGAGAGTATAGTAACCCAGGCGTCTCTGTTGTAATCGGTGGCCGCAAGTCGGTTGAAGCCGCCTTTAGCGACTTTGCTCTTCTGTGTCTCATCTACACTGCTCAGCATGCCGAAGGCTCGATGTACGGTCATGTCACCGTACTTCTGAACATCCTGTTCTGATAACGGAGGTGCCTCGGGCAGCTTGTAGGGTGCTAACGCGGTTGACGGTCCGCCTTGTGTGGAGAAGGGATTCGAGGGGATGCCATCGAGCTTGTTGATGAGTTGTTCAGCGTCTTCGGGCTCGAAGTCTGGCTCGTATTCCTCTTCGTCTTCTGCGGCGGCGGTCGGTGGGGGCTGTACAGGGCGACTTGGTGCGGTCTGTTTGAGTGTCTGATAACGAGCGCGGACGGCCTAGACGATGTTAGCACGGCCACAACTGACATCTCCAATAAGGCCCGCAACGTATAGGCCAACGTGGGTCTGGATTGGACAGGGGACATCACATACGTTGATAGCTTGTTCAAGCTTCTGGGGGTTCACCGACTGCAGAACAGGCACGACTATCCTCAGCAATTGCTCGGGATCCCTGAAGTTTTGTACATCAAAGTTCGCAGTGCTGCCCTCAGCGTTCAGTGTGTATAGTTGTCGCCAGCTCACTTCACCAGGCGGTAGCGGCTGGACAGATGGCGTGCGACTTGGAGGCTCAGCAACCAGCCGTTGCCTCTTTGCCGGGTCAAGACCATCAGTAGGCTCAACCGGTGCTGGACGTTTACGGTTAGATTCATCGAACACTTCAACCCGTGTACGATGCATGCGTTCGAGGAACTGCTGTATCCGTCCGTTGATGGGGTTATCTGGGGAGTTTCTACGTTTATGAGCATCAGCAGTACAATCATATAGCAAGGCAGACATACCTCTTTATGATGTTCACAAGCAGTGCCCTTGTTGTACGCTCAATCGACTTCATGATGACCTTGTTCTTGGGCGTCATGGGCGAATTGGCGAGCTTGAGAGGGTTGAAGTTGAAGACACTGTTCAAGATCTTGTTTGCAACATTTGGGCGGCGGTGGATCAGCATGCCCAAGCTGTTGAGTGTGGCAGTCACAAGCAAGCCGTCACTAGTCTCTGTTAGAGGCATTCCAGCAGTCTGCGACTGTCTATCTAACCTGTGATCTCCGTGTATGATGTCCAGCAACCTGTCCAACAGCCCGTGTCCTTCAGCTTCGAGGCTCGCGTAGGGTATGAGGGGGTGGTCGCGGGATACGAGGGAGAGGGAGATGTCGTTTGGGTCGGCGCGCTGCGAGGGATCAGATGGCTGTGTATACATTGGGTAGAGTGTAGTATTTACCCTAGGGTCCGTAACGCCTGGTGTCTGTACCAGGACGACTTGCTGGAGGAACTTGACGCAACATATCCGCACACCGGGCGCAGCTGCATCCATTCGTCGCAAGATGTTGGACTTGATGCCGGCCATGAGCTGCCATTTCTGGGCATCGCTGGCGTCGGAGACACTGACACATGCAAGTATAAGAACGTGTTCGCGTAACTGCAATCATGGGCATCTGGCAAGGGGACCTCAAGATGCGCATGGCATATTTGACATGGGGACTTCTATCTGATGCCTGGGATATCACTTACATGTGTTTGTAGACAAGCGGGTACACGCTGGCAGCCGCCTGGATGGCGCTCTTGATGACGCTCTTGTCTTCAACATTGTCGAGGTAGGCTTTCAGGGTAGCCAGCACAGAGGGCGCGCTGTTCTGCTTGACGTCTTGGGGCCATGTTGGCGACGCAAAAGCCTCGGCCAGAAAGTCGGCACCCCAGCGCTGTATCTCGATGCTCTGGTCTTCACTGTAGCCGATGATGGGGAGCACGCCCGGTATGATGGTAGGATAGTATCTACCGTCGCCTAACGCGAGCGACCGGGCGGACTCCATCTGCTGTATCGTTTGCGAACTCATGGCGATGGCTGATGGCGAGTGCACACGAGACAAGCTTTGTTTCTTCGAAAGGGTGAAGAGAAGTGACGCTGCCTCACGCGCGCACGGCAGTCAGACTAAGAACGCGACAAAGCCCGGTATCCGACGTCAAGGGTGCTCCCATTCCCAGCAAAGCTAATAATTAAAGAGGCGTAGAGAGCGTGGAGAAGCGAAGGGGGATTGCGCGACGGGTGTTGTTGACTACAGCTGCGGGTGAGGTGAGTGACGCGGAGGGTTCGCGGCAGTGCCATGATGATCTACGCCTGGCCGCCAAGGCCGCCTAGCGTGGTGGAAGTTCACCACCGCGGCGAGACATTGGCGATTCCCCGCAAAGCAGTGAGAGTCTCAGCACGCCAACATGGGATAGTAAGTGGCATTGCGCATGTACATCGAGGGTGTATGCTAACGTCGACAGCAAACCCTTCCGCTCGACCTACTACGACGACCGCATGCGGGCATCGCCGGCCCTGCTGCGAACCCGCGCGCCGTACCTGATCAAAAACACCATCACCGGCTTCGCTATCTGCACCCTGGTTGTTGGCATCTGTATGGTACACGCCTTCTCTGCCTAGAGCATCGACTAATTGCACATAGACACATACACCATCAATGCCATCTCACAGGACGAGTTCGAGGATGTCATCGTACCGGACAAGCCTCTAGACCGAACCGCACAGCCACTGGGCACCACCCAAGCACTCCAGCAGGCAGTCGAAGCGCGCAAGTAGCGAAATACACGACTTTGTATATTGGTGTATAAGAATATGGGCATTGGGCTGGCGCTATAGGTTCATTCAGGGAATACCACTTTTTAACCATCTGATCTTGTTCGGCCCACAGAGTTGTCTTGAACTGGTTTGGTATTCGTCGCAGTCATTCGCAGCGATCAGGTCACTGGCCGTGTTTTGTGCCTTTCACATGCACTTGCCCCTCTCTACCTAATGCTCACGACTTATAGATTTATGGTTGCGTTCAATGGGTGCGCCTTGGCTCTGGATCCTTTTCATACCCTGGGCCGTCTCCCACGATCACTGTCGCCTGACCTTGGCGAACTCAAAGTTCGGTATACCGCCATGAGGATCTGGTTCAGCCAACAGTAGGTGCTCTACTACAACGCCAATTTACGTATGATGTATTCGCAGCCTACGAGCCTCATGGTTCCAGTCATCACTTAGTGCAGCGTGACCATCTGAAGGTGGCAGCGTAAAGAGCGGTAGCATCCATAAATTAGCTGTGCGCCTGAAAATCTCTTCTCTATAACTTTCCTCAGACACATATAGGACTTTCTGTGTCTATCTTACATCCCATCGCTAGTTATGGCTTCTCTTACCACCACCAACGCCGACCTTGCTCGGCTGAGCGCGAGCACCGACAGCAGCACTACCACCAACGAAGCCGATTTGAAGGCTTCCACCCGCGTCCAACGAAAAGACAAGTCGTCTGTTAGGCGCTGGTTCAGCTTTGTTCGTAAAATTGTCTCCTCCCAAAACACACGAAAGCAGTCAGAGTGTTCGACATGCGGGAAGAAATCCGAGGAGTCTCTCGTCCAAGTCACCCCTCTCAGAGCATCATCCACCATCGCCATCGCTCCCTCCAGTACTTATGAGGAAGGCATCGAACGCACAACGAAGGTGGACCCGACTGCCTTCCTGAGGCCTGTTGCGCGGTCCACATCTGTACCCGCATCCCTTCGTCGCTCGGCTTCCGCCCCTGCCTTCGCAAGCTCTTATCTCGAGGCAATCTCTGAAGAACCAACAGACTCGTCGACACATCGATCAGACACGGTCGAAACCGTCAAAGTCGACGACTCCACGCCACCCAAGCCGGCAAAGGCCAAACGCAGTCACGGCCCCCGCAAGCCGATCATGATTACCCCCGACCTGATCAAGAAAATCGAGAGGGACAACAAGAAACGCCAGGGACCGCCTGTTCGAGTGGCTGAGGTGAACAAGAATAGCAGGGGCGCTGTTGCCTCGGCGTCTGGTGCGAAAGGTGTTCGTGCCAACCCGATGAGGTGGTCGCAAGACTAAGGGAAGGACGAGGGTTGGCGGGAAGGGTGATATCAGGGTATTGGCCCCATATGGGCTTAGGAAATGCGCATTCTCAAAGTCATCGGGATGGTGTGACCTAGAGATGTTTCCTGCATCTTGCATCACTGGCACACAGCAAGACTTGGGGAAAGCTCCACATTGCTTCTTTATTTTATACAATGCTCAAGACCAACACAAGATATCTTCGAACACATTGCACCTCACTCGCGATACCTACAATCTCCATACAGCCGTAGTCATCTGAGACCCTGTTATATACTAAAAATTACTTCAAATTTTTCCAGCCACACAGATAATATTCAACACTTTGTGCGCGACCTTTGCTGACTACGACGTTGATTCCCATGGTAGAAAGCTTTGCGATACCACACCCGGACGACTACAACGGCGCCCAACTCTTTCGTCGGCTCCACATCCCACATTTGTCAGCTCCAACCTATCCATTCAGCGCATCCCTATTGTATACTACTTGGACGATATACCTCTCTTTTAGGCTGATGCAGAGATTTCCAGTCACTATGTAGCCCCAGGGCTGGTTCTCCGTCCTTTAAGAGTAATGAACCAAAAGAATCACAGGCGCAGTCATGGCTTTTTGAACAAGAAGCTCACATGCTTTTTACATTATGACTCCCTCAACTCTAACATTTCTATAAAGCCCATCCAACCCATCCAACAAACCTCCCATCATCCCCTTACATTCGCCCACACAAACAACTACAAAAATGGCACCAAAGCAAGCGCCCACCTTCCCTCCATCCACCAACAAACCAATTCCAAGCCCACGCTCAACATGCGCATGGGGAATTAAAGTACGACAAGTCCGTGAGAACTCCCCTGTCTCCCCATCCCTCCTCTTCGCCACGCCAATCCGCTCCTTCACTACTGCACCGAAGCGGAAACGTTCGTCTCGCGAAGATGAAGACAACATCAAAAATGAGGACAAAGGCGAACAAGCCCACGAACAAAGACGTGTCGCCAAAGTCGCAAAAAGGAAGGAGATACCAGACACAGCGTACGATGCCGATGACGAGGATGAGTACAACACTGAAGAGATATCTCTTCCAATCATAATACCTGATCCTCACTTCTGGTATCGGGCTGCGACGGGGCAAAGCCAGTACCAGGAATATTGGTACCCCGCAGTACCATCACAAGAACAGCAAGAGAGCAAGGAAGTGCCTTGGTGTTACAAGCCCTCCCCGTTGCTCGAGGGTTACTGGGGTTCCCAGTACCTAATTCTTGCTGAGAGGCAATGGAAGACAACTTATGCAATGCATAGGACGGGTGAAGCGGATGTGAAGATTAGTGTTGGAAGACGGAAGAAGTATAAGGCGGGAGAGGGGTGGGCAGTGGTAGAAAGGAACTTGAGTCTCGAAATTAAGGATAGAGGATTGCCGAGTTTGGCAGATTGAACAGCATTGGAGTTGAGACAGGTTGGATGGCAGTGTGGTTGAGGATATTGAATAGCTATTAGAGGATTCATCGGAATAGGGATACCATTATCACGCCATACCACCATCTACCTAACTACTTCCTAAACCATCTCCTGATCTCCCACCCTCTGCTTCTCCACACCATCCACCGTGCCCTCTCTGCCCTCCTTTCCTCCCTTGACCCTAAACCCCACACCAGGCACCCTACTTCTGAGCGCCAAACTGCTACAAACCACAGACACACTACTCAACGCCATCGCCAAACTGGCCCAGACAGGATCAAGTCTGATATGCTTCCTCCCCGTATCCTCCATCGCCATACCGCCCTCCATTCCAACGCCGTTATGGTGCATGTCCATCTGTTTGCCTCCGGTGGTGATGGGGAACAAAACGCCTGCGGCGATGGGCATGGCGACGAGGTTGTAGATGAGCGCCCAGCCGAAGTTGAAGTATACGCGACGGAAGACTACGCGGGAGAGGTCGAGAAGAGTGAGGATGGTTGTTAGGCGGGAGTTGATGAGGATGAATGAAGAAGATGAGAGGGCGATATCGGAACCGGAGCCGATTGCTATGCTGAGGTCGGCGGTGGAGAGAGCGGGTGCGTCGTTGATGCCGTCACCTACCATGGCGACAGTTGCGCGTTTCTGCCTTTTCTGCCTGCGAGGTAGGAAGGGGATGTTGAATATAGACTTGTGTGGCTTGATGAGGGTCTGCTGAAGGTACTTAATCTTTTCGGCTTTCTGATCTGGGAGGACGCCGGCAATGATGTTGGAAGTTGGGATGCCGACTTGCGCGCCTACAGCGTTGGCTGTAGTTGAGTTGTCACCAGATAGCATCCAGACGTCTATGCCGCGCGCCTGTAGGGCTGATATGACGCCTGGTGCCTCGGGGCGGAGCGGATCCGCGATGGAGAAGCTACACACGAGTCGCCAGAATGACGCAGGTTGAACTTCAGTGACGGCGAGTGACAGGGCCTCCGACGTGTTGGATGGCTCGGACTGCTCTGCCACACTTTGCTCACCAGTTCGTGGTAGAAACAAGGCGACTAAAGCGACCGAATCTCCCTGTGACTTCCACTTCTGCAGTGATGACGCATCGTCGGCGAGGATGGGGACGTTATGGTCAGCCATGAAGCTTTCATTACCAATGATCGCCACGATGTCTTGTCCGTCGACCCTGAAAGTACCCTTGAGACCCTTGCCAGGGACCTCATCGACGTTGACTGCTGTAGGTGTGTTGTGGGTCTCTTTGTTACAGAAAGAGACTAGCGCTCGAGCGATAGGATGGTTGCTGTTCTCTTCCAATGCCTTGACAATGCCCAACACAAGTGCAGCGCTCTGGTCGTTGGAAAACTTGTGATTCGTTACTGCCGGATCGCCACCCTGTGTCAAGGTGCCAGTCTTGTCGAAGACGATGCAGTCGAGTGAGCTGGCTTCTTGGAAAGCTTCACCACCACCCCGGACAAGAATACCGTGTTTGGCAGCTAGTCCGCCTCCCACGAAGAGCGCAGTGGGTGCGGCTAGTCCGATACCGCAAGGACAAGCAATGACAAAGACGGCAATGGCAAAGCGAAGAGACCAAAGCTCCCAGCCGCCAGCAGATTCATTCTTCCAATCGCTCGGTATCGCACCAGTAGTACCGAGGATGAGCCAGACAAGCCAGGTGAGTATGGCAGCAGCGATGACGAAAGGTACGAAATGCGAAGTGATAGTATCAGCGACACGTTCCACCGGTGCGCGATGTGACTGTCCTTCTCGCACAGCATTGATGATCTGATCCAGCATGGAAGTACCCGATACTGTCGTGATCCTGATCTTGACCGGTGAACCTTTATTCACTGTACCAGAGAATACAGTATCATGCTCTGTCTTCTTGACCGGACGTGACTCGCCAGTCAAGCTTGACTCATCGAAGTTAGAGCTGCCCTCGATAATGTCTCCGTCGAAGGGTGGCGAAGTGCCGTTGTGGACTCGAACGACATCACCGACCTCGAGAAGGTCGGTAGCGACCTTAGTATCGCCTTTCTCCGCATCGATAAGAACAGCCTCGTTAGGCCGAAGCTTTCCAAGCGAGGTGACAGCATCGCCAGTCTTGGCTTTGCTATAAGCTTCCAAGAAACGGCCGATGAGTAAGAACATCGTCAGGAAGACTACTGCATCGAAGTAAGAGTCGTTCATGGAACCAGAAGACTTCTTCGTGGCAGCCAAGATGAGCTCTACGATTGATGCCAGGTATGCGATTGTCGTACCGAGTGAGATGAGCATGTTCATGCTGCCGAAACGGGTAAAGCGGTGCAGATAAGGAGTCCGGCTTCCTGGTCGCCACATTGATCTCAGCTCTTTCAGTGCACGCCGATGGAATGTATCAGCGGCGAGGAAGTAGATAGGCGTAGCGAGGAAGAACAGTGCCCAGCTTAATCGAGTGACGTTGCCGGCCCATATTTTGCCCATGAAGTATGTGCGTATAGGGTCTTCAGAGCTAATCAAGCTCATGAAGACAATTCCTAGGATAAACGTGGGAATCGCAACCACGATGCATAGAATGAGGCGGAACAAGATACGTTTCCGCTCTTCCGCATGCATCTCGCGCGCGCGCTCTTCCAGTGTCGGAGGGTGGAAGACCGAAGGCTGGAACGCTGGGTTGAGGCTCTTGATGGTCGAAAAGATCTTTCGGATCGTGAAATGAGGAGGGTCCGGTACATATCTGATATGCAGAATGGGTTGCTCAAGCGATAGTGATGGAGAGTCGATTACAAAACTGCGCTCGTTCTCAAACGCTTCTTGCAATCCTCGGGTAATGTTATCTGGGCAGTGGTGGCAGAACATACCATCTATGCGAATCGCGACTGAACGCTCGATGGTGTCGGTCACTGTGGTCCCTTCTTGAACAACTTGATCGAGGGTAGCGGTGTACCCGACATCCTCGATACTTTCCTTGACCTCTGGCAGATGTTCCTTGCCTCTGAATATGATGGTGGCACTGTTCGAGATAAGGTTGATATCGACCTTCTCAATCCAGGTCAAAGGTCGTAGCGCATGGTTGACGTTTCCGACACAGGCGGAGCACGTCAGACCTCCGAGGGAATATGTTGCGCGCCACCTTTCGCTCTGTTGTTTCGATGCGGCTACAGCTCCGGGCGATGTAGTCTGCAAATCCTCGAGCTTCTCTACTGCGACATCAAACCCACAATCTTCGATCGTCTCGACAAGCTCCTCGCAACTCTCTTTGCCACTGAAGACTATCACCCCGCTGTTAGTCAAGAGATTGACATTGACTGACTGAACCCATGGCAGTTCCTGGACCGCGTGCGTGATGGCAGAGACGCATGAGCTGCACGTCATGCCGGTAATAGACAGCGTTGCTTTGTAGACTTGTGGGGCCGCAGGCGAGTCAACAGTAACGAAGGCCTCGGATAAAGGCGACTTCGGTTCGGGCGACGAGAAGCCATCGGAGCTACCTCTGGGTGAAGTCGTGACGATAGGCGCAGGCTTGAATCGCAGCAACTCGTCGCCGTGCAAGCTAACCCCACCACCTTCTCTTTTGCACTGCTCGCACTGAGCTAGGTGAGTTTCTTTCTTCCTCATGTCGTCGTGTGAGTCTTCAAGGTCGGCAGCAGGATGTAACCAGTGATTGACGGCGCGTTCAAAGCTAGTGTGCCACTCCTTGCTCTTACCCTCGGGGTTCTTAACCTCGATCGGACTCCGGACAGCCTTGGTGTCTTGAAACACGCTGTGTATCTCGAATCCCGCAGCCTCTAGCGAGACGGTGATGTCGTCAAGGTTGAGAGAAGCGGCGTGGCGTACAACCACTGAATGTGAAACGATGGAGACGAATACGTCTTGTGGCGGCGGTGAGAGCGCGGTGAGAGAGGCTTGGATACCGTCCACACATGACGGGCAGTGGAGATTAGAAATAAAGCATGTCGTCGTTGTGGTGCCGTTCACCGCAGGATCGCGCAATCTGGGTAACGGCGCAGCGGGAGACATGGTGACTGGTTCGCGTTCGGGGTGACCTTGGCTGTGTAATATCGACAATGTCGGTACTCCTCAATCAATCGGGTGGATGACTCTCTTGCTCAGGCGATGATTGATAGATGTCAGTGGGCGCCGGTTCCGGGGTAGTAGCCAACGGCTGTCGTCGCGCAATCAAAGCAATCAAGGAAGCGACTGGGCGTGGACGAAGGAAGGAACGTTCAAGGAAACACAACACGATACTGGAACCCTCAGATATAAGTGAAACCCGAATTTTCGAGCCTTTTCTGCGAAATGTGTCATTGCTACCTACATTTCTGATTCATCGTCCAAAAGCGTGACAGTGGCGGCCGCACAAGTCGCGCAGTTGCCACGGGCGAGGTTGAGTGGGTCTCCGCACAAACTGCGCAGTGGCAGCCCACCCGTCTGACTCGCCAGGCCGCATCGTTGGCAAATAAACCCTTGCGCAAACATGTGCATGCAGCATTGCGTGTATGTAGAAAGAATCTCACTCCAGGCACTCTTCTTTGTCTGCGTGCTGGCTTGGCTTATGCCGCACTGGCGTCAGCGGATCTGCAGCCACGTGAAAACAAGCTTCTCGCTTGCCCCGGATTCGTCCACCTTTGGCTCCCGACATGCATATGTCTTCATCTACATATATGGATAGCAATCTGGAAATACCGACAGCCCTATGCAGTGTATCACGCGGAAGGGCGGCATCGTGATTGCGGAGGACCAATACCGGTACGGGCCATCCAGAAGGAGAGCTGTGCGTCTTGCGAAGTTATTTCCCAAGCGGGTTATACTCTAACAGGCGTGTGTAGGCAAGCGCAAAGACTCTGCGAGTGAGTGGGTCTTCATCTGAACTCCGGCCGTGTTAACAGCAGTTCAGAATCTGTGGACACCGCGCTAGAAGCCCGATCTTCCGCAGGCACGTCTCTTGATCTCCAAATCCTAGGCGCAAAATTTCCAGATGATGATTAGTATAGAAGACGGAGTCACTCAAAAAGCACGATAGATCTTGTAATGTTCAGCAAGAGCGTTTCAGCAGTACTCCAGTACTGAGGGCAATAGAATCAGGGCTTGGGTCGGCAAAGTCGCATTGGGTGTGCTGTAGATAGCAGAGTCGAGTTGCTTTGGCATAATCTGGGCTCTGGGCATTGGGCTCTCAGCATATATGACGGTTGCTTTCCACAGATGTCGCAAATACTGCGCTAAAAGGAAGTCACCACCTAAAGAAACAAGAAAATGCGGCGCTGCCAGCGCCGCCTAAGGCCCATCTATCGGGCTCCCGTGAGAAGGAAATTGAAACCTAGATCCCAGCTGTGGTCTTTTTCGATCCGGTCGTCTTGATGTGCTGTTTGGGTGTGTACGGTGGTGGATTGGTATGCTTGTGAGCATCCATCTCTTGCCCTGATGACGAGTCCCTCATGACGCCGTGTCCTTGCTCAGCGCTTGCCACCTCAGCAATGGGCCTGCCAGCTAGTTCACCCTTGGTTTCCATCGGTGCCGTCGGCTCGGTTCCTTCGTAACGGCGTTCCGTAGGGATGAAAGCATCGTAGTATCGCGGCATTATGAAGCCGAGCAGGATAACGATTATAGTGATTATGGACAAGATGAATCCGGCAATCATCATTGGGTCGTACCGTAGAGTGTGAAATTCGGGGAAAGCGAAGGAGAAGATGATGGCGAGGACGGGTCCACTGAGATAACGGAGGAGGAATGGCATGAAGGCTGGTATCGTCCAGTTCTTGCCCTGGCCAACGATGACGTTCAGGTCGCGACGGAGTTGGTTACCCTGCCGTGTTCGTTAGTTGACTGAAATGTCAGGATTGTTTAGTTGGTTCGACTTACCGAGTAGAAGGCGAGGAACCAGAACTTCCGAACGAAAGTATTCCGGTGCCAGAAAGACGGCGCTCGCGCGGCGGGAGTCTTTGCCACGAAAACAGCAATTACGGCCATAAGGAAGTAGAAACCGATACCAGCACCGGCGCCTGCTCCAGGTCGGCTGATGCCATGCGCAAGACTAATACCAAAGACCTGACCGCCGAAGAAACCAACATTGTATATGACAAAGGCGGGCAGGCCGGTTTCTTCAACGATGTCTCTCCATCGGTACACGGTCGTGGCGCTGGAAACCTCGCTCCAGACGACAAATATTAGAGCGACGTTGTTAACCCAGCGATCAATACCATCGAGGAGGTAGTAGCCGAACTCCGTGCAATATGGAAGACACCTAAATTGTCAAAGTCAGCGAGCAGTTCTTATAAGTAGCTGGGCAGCATCACTTACATCAAAAATGAGAGAACGGTCAGCCCAGTAACCACGACAGGTCTCGAAGCCTTGACCATGCCAGAATCGCAAATAAGCGTGACGACAACGTCAAGCATGACAAAAGCCGAACTGAATCCGAGCACAATGAGCGTGAAGAACAAGAGCACTGCCCAGAAGTTTGCTCCAGGCATCTGTAGCACTGCCTCAGGAAGTGTCAAGAAACCTACAACGAAGGCGCCGAGTCGCTCACCGTCCTGTGGCCACCTTTCGAGAAAGCCTACAACGCCAAAGACGGCGAATGCAGCGAAGTTTTCGAAAAGTACGTTGCTACCGCAAATAAGACAAGCGTCCATTACGGCGTTGGCGTGTTTTGTGTTGTAACTGGCGTACGACGTGAAGTATCCGAAGCCGATACCGGTGGAGAAGAAGACTTGGCCAACAGCTGTCTGCCACACGACTCCCGAGGCGAGTTGTTCGCTCCTCCAAGTTCTCCAAACAAGAGCAACACCTTCACTCGCATTGGGAAGAGATAGCGCTCGGCCAACGAAGATGATGGTGGTGACGATGGGTAGTCCCATGGTGAAATATACGACGCGACCGGTCATGCCGACTCCACGGAAGATGGATATCCAGATCAAGAACCATACAAAGATACTCCAGCCTACAGTTGAGCCGATCAGAGCTCCGTTGGGATAGCCGGTGAATGAAGCTACGGAGTTGCCATCCGGGGTGAGGCTTCCCTCGTTGATGTCTCCGCGCTGAAGAACGTCTTTGTAGTAGAAGTCCTCGATGCGGCCTTCCCATGGCAAGGGACTCGTGAAACTTTCTTGGAAGTATCTCATAATCCTGGTGACAAAGTAAGTACAGGCCAAACGTCAATCTTATTTGGAGACACTGCATACCATGCCAAGTTAACAGTAAAGTACTGGACGACAAGGAAACTGACGATAACAGGCCCCATACCAACTCCCTTAAGACGACGGTTTATGTTGTTGACTAGCGGCAGATAATTAGTTGGCATTCCATACGTAATCACCACAGGAGCTATCTTACATGCAATGACAGTACCACCACGGTACGCTTGACCAATTGACACTTCCAGGATGAGCGCCGGGATAGCAATGAGGAAGACGGCCAGAAGATATGGAATGAACCATTGAAGGCCATAGTTGTTGTACAGCACACTCGGGTATCTGAGCAGGTTTCCTTGTCCTGCGCAGCCGCCCATGGCAGCGAGTAGAAAGGCTGCTCTCGAGGGCCACTGGTCACGGCCATCTTCGCTTTTCGAGGCTTGAGGCGCCAAATAGCTGCCTATCTTTCGCAGGAATCGCATCGCCATCTTGTATGAACAGCTATCTTGCGAGAGTTGAAGTGAGGTGTAGAAGGCCGGGCCTCAACAAAACGGAAGTATCGGGATAGAGCAACGATCCCAAATCGACCTTTCTTTGGGAGACTGTGAAATGTGGGCGGACCTAGCCATTACATGTGAGAAGTGAAGTACTTTTGTATTCCGTTCAAAGCAAACGCCCCACTACGTCCGCCAAGATCGTACCAGTCTCTTCAAACCCACGTTCGGTTGCTGTTGGTAATGGGTTGCGATTTCCCTGCATTTCCCAGTTCACATCGCATGGTTGACCCACCCGATCCTACACCGGGGGTGCGACTACGGCAACCCCGACGTTAACAATCGCCATGACACAAAACAAGCTTTTCCTGCAAGACGGGTTTTCTTGCTCGCAATTCACAAACCCTCATGGGACAAGAACATGGTTTCCAATGGCTCGGCGGGGCCCGCCGTTGATAGCCAAGCTTCCGCCGGGGAGGATGTGGAGAAAAGCTCATCGGCAAAGGCCTGGCGTACGTAAGATGGTTGGGGTCGAAAGTATCCCGACAAATCATATTCTGTCTACATGCCGAGTTCCGCGTGCCAATGCTGGGCGTGGCTCGGTTCCGCCGCAGCTGTCACGTCACGATCGCTCTTTCTTCCGCATTGGTTCGCGCTTACCATTCAAGCAATTCCGAGTCAGTATGGGAAATATCAGCCTCTGATGGCGTGCTCAGGAACCATCGCACGGGGAAAGAGTGAGTCCCTTCATCCAACGTGCCTTTGTGAACAGAGAACTGTGGCAAAGCCCGACAGTCCCTTGCGATAGCCGATATAGCCGACTTCAGGCGTACCATGCGATCCGCGTCGGACGCGTTGGCTTCGCGTACGACGCAAGTGTGGTGAGCCATGCTTCGTAGCACGTCGGCAACAGTGGGGCAGCCCACCACTTCGGTAACATATGCAGTGTTTGGTCTGGGGGTGGGTCTTTTCAGTGATATCATGGACGTTGGGTAATGTGCTCCACTCGAGTACATGACCGTCGAAACCTGCAGACTTGTTGTGGTTGATGTATAGAGCCCAAGCCGAATGTTGGGATCGTGCACTCCGAGGCGATCAGGTGTCCGAGTCGTGTTGTGCCTCCCACTGAAGATGTTTGACCATGGCCTTTTCCGCTTCAAGCTCTGCTTCAAGTGTGTTGATGCGATATGTCAGCTCCGTAATCTTCGCTTCCTTTGCCTTAACTGTGCTACGGCTGACATCGCGACCTCTCTTGTATCCTTCGGTGTTCTTGGCGTGTCGAACCAGGAGAGTTCTGAGCTCGTTTTCGGTAGAGTCTGCGAGGCGTGTGCTACTGTTCTGCAGCAAGTCGAAGACGTCTTTGACGATGTCGTCGTTCACTGCATTTCTGAACCGA